TGATTTTACATCTTCATACTATCCACAACCAAAAAATATTGAAACGAAAAACCTTGTGGGAAGGTATAGCCTATGAAAAAAGCGCCATTTCCTTTCCTATATTTGTTCATCGAATAGATCATCACGATTTTATCACTATTTAATTATACATAGTCGATTCAAATGACTATAGTAATTCATTAGAAAATAATCTATAATATTACCGTGATCAATCGAACTTTTTTAACTTGAAAAAAAATAAACCAATAATATATGAACTTACCATATTGTAAACAAATGATGAATCATAACATGCATAATTAATGGTAACAATAAACGTCGTTAACTGTTTAAGACGACCATCAAGTAGAGCAAAGCATTCTTCAAAACCATTCGCAAAAACACATAACTTGGAAAGGATTGAAGAGGAACAGGTAGTTAATAATGATGAATTACCGAGCATGAAAATTGAAGGTGATCCAGTAATAGACAAATATTTTAAATTTTTGAAGAATTTAAAAATATAGTCGTGCACACCATTCTGATATTGCCTCTCTAATGTAATGTCAATATCATCTTTGTATACAAGAATGAGATCTGTAATTTGTTCTCGAAAAATACGTCGAAATGGTGATTGATCTAAATAAAAAAATCCAACTAGATATTGTACAATGTATTCAACGTTTCTATTAAAACCTATTCTCAGATCAGCATCGAAGTTTTTTTTTACCTGTAAAATAATATGAAGCAATTTTGTCTATGAAATTAAATATTTTAAGTTTAGCTAGATTAGGATAATCGGTAACAAGAAGAATACGTTCCATAGATTTTGATTCAAGAATAAGAGATTTAATATTGTGATCAATTCTTGGCAATATATTAGTGCAAAATCGATCGAGCATTGAGTCCTCAATTGACAAAATATCATCAAGTGATGTTGTTAATACAAAATTGAGAGTCTCAGTAAAAAATTTTTCTTGCACTATCATATCAAGTCGTTGATTATCAACACCCAATAATGAATAGAGAACGTCCATATTATCAAGTTTCTTTAAAATAATAAATAATATTTCGTTAGATAAATCAAGAAATCGAACGTTTGACTGATTCATATTTATTGCGAATGATGCTTTACTTAAGATGGATAAAACATATTTATACATATAGCCATTGTTCGTTTACACTCATCGTCGTAGTCAAATAAAATGGATGGATGACCCCGTCTGAAAAAAAAAATATAGTGGATGAATGATCCAATGAATTCATAGGCGAACATTCATTTTTTCTTTTTTTTTTTTGTTTATCCTTGATGTTATTATGGTCCGTAGTCTTTCATCTCATTCATACGTTATGATAGAGTCTTATTCAGAGAAAAGAATGAATAAAAATGGTTACCATACTAAAATTTACTGAAATTAATTCACAAATATAGATTTTAATAGATAGAAATTGTACTTTTGTACATATTATAGGAAATAGGATAGGATATAAATAAGAAGAGTATAATATTATTATTTATTTTGTTATAGATGATCTCTTTCAATTTTATTTAACCATCTGAAATTAGCATAAAATGAGATCATCTGTTTGTTGTAATATTCATTATGATTCTAGTTTTTGTCTCTACTGTCAATACAGAATAAAAATGTGTATTAGGCAAAATTAAACATGATTTTTTAAACGATTTAATAATTAAACATTCGAAAACGATGAAAACAAAAAATTGACCTAATATATTTATCTTAAGTTAATGATTAAATTAATTGAGATATAGTTGAGTCTAAGAAATTGTAGAGTTCGCGATCTTATTTATCGAAATAAAAATTAACTTAGCTGCCAGACCAAAAAATAGAAACCAGGAACTTGTGATTACTTTCATTTATTTTCTGTATCAATATGTGTTGGTCTTCAGATTGATTCCAGTCTATACTTATTAAGTTTTGTCTAAGTTGCAATTGATTGCAGATTTTTTTTATCAATATCGATTATGTGAGCAGAGTGAACTGAACTGGCCGTCAGATCGATAACTTATTCTGGACTTTGCTGATCTTATAAGAGTCAAATCAAATCTTTGGTTACTTATATTTGCCTGATAATTGCTATAATAATATGAAAGTTCAGGCTAACTGCTACAGTGCTTTTTACTGTTTCGACCGGATAGAAGTAGTCTTCATAATTGGTAAAAAAAAACAATAATTTATTTGCAAACGAAACATTCTTATGATCAAGTTTTAAAAAGAGTGTAAAAACTCAAAACAGTTCAGACAGATTGATAGAAAAGCTTTTGTTCATTGACCTATATACTAGATCATATAACAGATCTCCCAGGTGAAATTGCACTAAATCTCAGCACATTTTTCTCTTGTTTCCTAATCTTCATAAAAATTCCCTTTTATGCCAAAAGATAGAGAATTTTAAGCTCTAAAAAACTATATAAGTTTATATAGTGTTACATCCTTTTGAAACGAATGAATAATTATGAAAAATGAAGACGTGCAAAATAATCCACTGCGATCATATATGTGTTGTATGCTTTGATAAAATGTTGGACAATTTGTCAAAAAAGCGGTTGAACTATCGATCTGACGACTTTTGAGTAGGGGTGTCAGGGTTCCCGTTCCTCAAGGGTTCCGTTCCCAAGGAACGGGAACCCACTTGGTTATTCATTTCTATGCATGTTTGAACGCGTTTGAGTTCATAGACATACTTTTTCTTTCGTTTTGAGCAAGTCACTCAGGGTTCCCGGGTTCCTGGGAACGGGAGCTCGTACCGGGTTCCAGGTTCCTAGGAACGGGAACCCACTTAGTTATTCATTTCTGTGCATTTTTGAATACACTAGAGTTCATAGACATACTTTTTCTTTCGTTTTGAGACAAGTCTCTCCGGGTTCCCAGGAACGGGAACCCGCCCCGGGTTCCTAAGAATGAGGAACCCTATTGCAAATTGTTCAGAATAGAAGTTTAGGTGTGGTTCCTCATTCTTAGGAACCCAGGGCGGGTTCCCGTTCCTGGGAACCCGGGAACCCGGAGAGACTCGTCTCAAAACGAAAGAAAAAGTATGTATAAGCACTCTAGTGTGTTCCAAAATGCACAGAAATGAATTTTGAACTGGGTTCCCGTTCCTAGGAACCCGGTGCGGGTTCCCGTTCCTAGGAACCCGGAACTCGGTGCGGGTTCCCGTTCCCAGGAACGGAACTCGGTGCGG